ACAACGATCTACACTCACATGAGGTGATGGTCAACCCAACAGTCTACACTCACGCGAGGTGATGGTCAGCCAACAGTCTACACTCACCTGGGGTGATGGTCAATAACAGTCTACACTCACCTGGGGTGATGGTCAATAACAGTCTCACTCCACCTGAGGTGATGGTCAACCAACAGTCTACACTCACCTGGGGTGATGGTAAACAGACAGTCAGCACTCACTTGGGGTATTAGTCAACACCAACAATCTACACTCACTTGGGGTGATGAAAGGTCAACCAACAGTCTACACTCATGAGGTGATGGTCAGCAACAGTCTACACACTCATGAGGTGATGGTCAACCCAACAATCTACACTCACCTGGGAGTGATGGTCAACCAACGATCTACACTCACCTGGGAGTGAAGTGGTCAACAAAGTCTACACTCTGGGTGATGGTCAACCAACAGTCTACACTCACTTGGGAGTGATGGTCCAACCAACAGTCTACACTCACATGAGGGTGATGGTCAGCCAGCACCTGATCTACACTCACCTGGGGTGATGGTCAACCAACACAGTCTACACTCCTTGGGAGTGGCAATAACAGTCTACACTCACATGAGGTGATGGTCAAGCAACACTACACTCACCTTTGGTGATGGTCAACCAACAGTCTACACTCACCTGGGGGGATGGTCAACCAACAGTCTACACTCACCTGGGTTGATGGTCAATAACAGTCCACTCACTTATGAGTGACGGTCCAACCAACAGTCTACACTCACCCTGGGGAGTGATGGTCAACAGTCTACACTCACTTGAGGTGATGGCAACCAACAGTCTACACTCGCGGTGAATGGTCAACCCAGCAATCTCTACACTCATTTGCAGGAGTAATGGCAACCAACAGTCTACACTCACATGAGGTGATGGTCAGCCAACAGTCCTACACTCACCTGGGGTGATGGTCAACCAACAGTCTACGCCACCTGGGGATGGTCAACCAACAGTCTACACTCACCTGGGGTGATGGTCAATAACAGTCTACACTCACTTGCCAGGTGACGGTCAGCCAACGGTCTACGCCACCTGGGAGTGATGAATTAATAACAGTCTACACTCACTTGGGGAGTGATGGTCAACCAACAGTCTACACTCACTTGGAGGCGGTGGTCAACCAGCAGTCTACATTCACCTGGGGTGATGGTGTAACAGTCTACACTCACCTGAGGGTGATGATCAACCAACAGTCTACACTCTTACCTGGGAGTGATGGTGTGTAGTCTGCATCACTTGGGGTGATGGTCAACTCCAACATTCTACACTCACCTGGGAGTGGTCAGCCAACATTCTACACTCACCTGAGGTGATGGTCAACCAACAGTCTACACTCACCTGAGGTGATGATCAACAACAGTCTACACTCACCTGGGGTGATGGTCAGCTCAACAGTCTACACTCACATGAGGTGATGGTCAGCCAACAGTCTACACTCACCTGGGGTGATGGTCAACCAACAGTCTACACTCACTTGGGAGTAGTGGCAACCAACAGTCTACACTCACATGAGGTGATGGTCAACCCAACAGTCTACACTCACCTTTGGTGACGGTCAACCAACAGTCTACACTCACCTGGGAGGTGATGGTCAGCTCCAACAGTCTACACTCACTTGGGGTGATGGCAACAACAATCTACACACTCATGAGGTGATGGTCAACCAACAGTCTACACTCACTTGGGTGTAATGGCAACCAACAGTCTACACTCACATGGTGATGGTCAACCAACGAGTCTACACTCACCTGAGGTGATGGTCAACCCAACAGTCTACACTCACTTGGGAGTGATGGTCAGCAACAGTCTACACCTCACTTGGGTGATGGTCAACCAACAGTCTATACTCACCCTAAGGGTGATGGTCAACCAACAGTCACACTCCTTTAGGGTGATGAATTAAACCAACAGTCTACACTCACACAGGGTGATGGGTCAACCAACAGTCTACACTCACCTGGGGTGATGGTCAACCAACAGTCTATACTCTTGGGAGTGATGGTCAGCCAACTGTCTACACTCACTTGGGAGTGATGGTCAGCCAACCGAGTCTACACTCACACAAGGGTGATGGTCAACCAACAGTCTACACTCACCTGGGTGATGGTCAATAACTTTCCTACACTCACCTGGAGTTATGTGCAACCAACTGCCTACACTCACCTGGGGTGATGGTCAATAACAGTCACACTCACCTGGGAGTGATAGTGTAACACTCTACACTCACCTGGGAGTGATGGTCAGCAACAGTCCTACACTCACCTGGGAGTGATGGTCAACCAACAGTCTACACTCACCTGGGTGAAGGTCAACCAACAGTCTACACTCACCTGGGGTGATGTTAATAACAGTCTCCGCTCACCTGGGAGTGGTCAATAACAGTCTCACTCACACCTGGGGTGAAGGTCAACCAACAGTCTACACTCCTGGAGTGATGGTCAACTCAAGCAGTCTACACTCACCTGGGAGTGATGGTCAGCAACAGTCTACACTCCTGCCTGGGGTGATGGTCAACCAACAGTCTACACTCACCTGGGAGTGATGGTCAGCCAATGATCTACACTCTGCCTGGGGTGAGTCAACCAACAGTCTACACTCACCTGGGAGTGATGGTCACTTAACAGTCTACACTCCACCTGGAGGTGATGGTCCTTAACAATCACACTCACACCGGGGTGATGGTCAACCAACAGTCTACACTCACCTGGGGTGATGGTCAACCAACAGTCTACACTCACCTGGGGAGTTATGGTCAGCCAACAGTCTACACTCACCTGGGGTGATGGTCAACCAATGATCTACACTCACCTGAGGTGATGGTCAACCAGCTGTCTACACTCACCTGGGGTTATGGTCAACCAACAGTCTACACTCACAGGGTGATGGTCAGCCAACAGTCTACACTCACCTGGGAGTTATGGTCAGCCAACAGTCTACCACTCCTGGGGTGATGGTCAACCAACAGTCTACACTCCTGGGGTGATGGTCAGCCAACAGTCTACACTCACCTGGGTAGTGGTCAATAACAGTCTACACTCACTTGGGGTGATGGTCAACAACAGTCCCAACACTGCTGGGGTGATGGGGTCAGCCAACAGTCTACACTCACCGGGTGATGGTCCATAACAGTCTCCTCACCTGGGGTGATGAATTAACCAACAGTCAGCACTCACTTGGGGTGATGGTCAACCCAACAGTCTCACTTTCACCTGGGGTGATGGTCAACCAACTGTCTGCACTCACCTGGGGAGTAATGGTCAACCAACGATTACGCACTCACCTGGGAGTGATGGTCCAACCAACAGTCTACACTCACTTTGGGTGATGGTCAGCCAACAGTCTACACTCACTTGGGGTGATGGTCAACCAACAGTCTACACTCACATGAGGTGATGGTCAACCAACAGTCTACACTCACTTGGGGAGTGATGGCAACCAACAGTCTACATTCACCTGAGGTGATGGTCAGCAACAGTCTAGACTTTCACCTGGGAGTGATGGTCAATAACAGTCTACACTCACTTGGGGTGACGGTCAACCAACGATCTACACTCACCTGGGGTGATGGTCAACCAACAGTCTACACTCACTTTGGGGAGTGATGGTCAACCAACAGTCTACTCCTTGGAGTGATGGTCAACCAACAGTCTATACTCCTGGGGTGATGGTCAACCCAACAGTCTACCACACTCACCTGAGGTGATGATCACCAACAGTCTACACTAACCTACAGGGGTGATGGTCAGCCAGCAGTCTACTTTCACCTGGGAATTGTTGGTCAACCAACAGTCTACACTCACCCAGGGGTGATGGTAACCGCTGAAGTCTACACTCACCTGAGGTGGTCAACCAACAGTCTACACTCACTTGGGACTGATTTTCCAGCCAACAGTGTACACACTCACCTGAGGTGATGGTCAACCAACAGTCTACACTCACCTGGGGTGATGGTCAACCAACAGTCTACACTCACTTGGGAGTAATGGTCAAAGCAACTGTCACCACTCACTTGGGAGTGATGGTCAACCAACCAGTCTACACACTCACCTGGTGATGGTCAATAACGATCTACACTCACCTGAGGTGATGAACCAGCCAACAGTCTACACTCAACGTGGGAATGATGGTCAGCCAACGATCTACACTCACCTGGGGTGATGGTCAATAACAGTCTACACTCCTTGGGAGTGATGGTCAGCCAACAGTCTCACCTCACCTGCAGGGTGGTCAACCAACAGTCTACCACACTCACCTGGGTGAAGGTCAACCCAACAATCTACACTCACCTGGGAGTGATGGTCAACCAACAGTCTACACTCACCTGGGAGTGAAGGTCAACCAACAGTCTACACTCACCTGGGAGTGATGGTCAACCAACAGTCTACACTCACCTGGGAGTGATGGTCAACCAACTGCCTACACTCACCTGGGAGTGATGGTCAACCAACAGTCTACACTCACCTGGGAGTGATGGTCAACCAACAGTCTACACTCACCTGGGAGTGATGGTCAACCAACAGTCTACACTCACCTGGGAGTGATGGTCAACCAACAGTCTACACTCACCTGGGAGTGAAGGTCAACCAACAGTCTACACTCACCTGGGAGTGATGGTCAACCAACAGTCTACACTCACCTGGGAGTGATGGTCAACCAACTGCCTACACTCACCTGGGAGTGATGGTCAACCAACAGTCTACACTCACCTGGGAGTGATGGTCAACCAACAGTCTACACTCACCTGGGAGTGATGGTCAACCAACAGTCTACACTCACCTGGGAGTGATGGTCAACCAACAGTCTACACTCACCTGGGAGTGATGGTCAATAACAGTCTACACTCACGTGAGAACCAACAGTCTACACTCTTACCTGGGGTGATGGTCAACAACAGTCTACACTCACGTGGGAGTGATGGTCAACCAACAGTCTACACTCACCTGGGAGTGAAGGTCAACCAACAGTCTACACTCACCTGGGAGTGATGGTCAACCAACAGTCTACACTCACCTGGGAGTGATGGTCAACCAACTGCCTACACTCACCTGGGAGTGATGGTCAACCAACAGTCTACACTCACCTGGGAGTGATGGTCAACCAACAGTCTACACTCACCTGGGAGTGATGGTCAACCAACAGTCTACACTCACCTGGGAGTGATGGTCAACCAATAGTCTTCACTCACCTGGGAGTGATGGGGACACCAGAGAGAAATTCGTACACATCATTTTTATTACTCTTGACAATCTCTTGGCGGTTGAGCTTCTGATATTTCCTGAGGAGGACAAGGCCGGCCACCACGTCTGAGGGCACCACATCCAGGTCACGGAAGAACTCACTCAGTAGCCGTGCAATGTCGCTGAAGGAATTCTGTGGAGATATGAGAGACTTCGGGGTAAGCGTAGGGAATCAGAAGGAACACACTGAACTAATTAAACAGCAGAACACCAACTCTCAGCTCATAGCATGATTCTATAGGTTGGGTATCCCTTATCCGAAATTCCCAAGTCTGAAGTGCTCTGAAATCTGAAAGTCTATTTCATTATACAGTATATACTGTATGGTAGAAAATACACTCAAAATGGCATATATATAATTTTTATTAGGGTAAGTATGTATGTGTAATGAATAAAGATAAGACACAGGCTGCTTAGCACCTCGGAGTCAGGTGTTATGGTGATGCCAAAAAGACGGTAGTGATTGCTCACCTTTCTGAGTCTATAGTGTACATTTTATCATATATTTTATAGCCAAAATTATTAAATTATATTTCATGAAACTACCTGCAGAATATATGCATCTGTCTCACTTCAAAAAGCTGGTTTTCCGGCTTCTTCGTGGTGTAGATTAATATAGACTTTTTCTCTTCTATTCTTAATTTCTTTTTTACTCTTATTTTTTCAACCCCTAAGCTCCATTGTGGGTTGATGACCTGTGCCCGGGTGGGCTATGCCCATAAAAAACTAAAAAATAAAAATACTGTAAATGAAATATAAATTAATTTTGTCCATAGACTTGGGCCCCATCCCTGCTGGGTGAGCTACTGCATTATACAGCTTCTGTATACAGGATATAGGTATTCCCAAATCCAAAAATATTCCAAATCCAAGACCCTTAGGGGCCCAAGCATTTTAGATAAGGGATACCCAACCTGTATCATTGGTAAATTAAACTTTAAAGAAAGAATAACACTATTATTTAAATAATAGAGCTAAAGGATATTAGAAACTTGTATAGTTCAAGAAATCATTCTCTCCCACTTGAATGAAACACAATGTGATTATAGACTTATGTAAAACTTCATCCCTACTGGGGAACTATAAAGTGAGGCTTTATAATTTTGTTTAACCTTTTGAGCACTTAACTCAACAAAAGTCGCTTATCATCGAAGAGTTTTGAACTGTGTGCTCAGCGTCATGCGATTTACTGGTGGATGGTGGGAGCTCAGAGACCAAAACATTTCTCGGATGTCACTCTGGCTTGTGTCAGCTGATTCCCACCACCATTATCAGACTTCTCAGTTTTATGCCATGACAACATTACTACTGAGCCGTGAATAGACGGAAGGTTCAATGATATACATATAGTACAGTGGTCCCTCGGTTAACGAGCACAATCTGTTCCAGAAGGTTGCACGTTAACCGAAAAACTCATTAACCGAAACCATTGTTACACCTATTGGGAACAATTCTTACAGGGGATTAATAGAACAACCACTCTAGCAGAAATGTGGAACAAAATTAGAGCCATTACCAAGTCACCCACCCCAGTCCAGCTTCATCACAGCCCTGCAGAATATGCTGACATGCTATTAGACCAATGGTCTAGTGTGTCACGAATCACTTCCCTGCCTCCTGACATACAACAATATCTTAACACCTCACACATTAATAGGGGTTTCAATATTGAAATAGCCTGTTCCTCACCAGACTTTACCGACCAGTTTCCTATAACGCACCACGAACTAACAACAGCACTAATGAAAGGTGAGTCATCCTCCCCTGGTGAGGATGGCATAACCTATAACACCCTGAGATTGTTGAATGAGATCCCTAACCATCCACTGCTTGACCTGTATCAAATGAGCCTCACACAGGGTATTCTGCCTAAGACATGGACTCATGGAAACATAGTTCCAATCCCTAAAGCTAATTCTCCAAACTTCAGGCCAATTTCACTTACATCCTGTATGTGTAAAGTCCTTGAAAGAGTTGTTCTAAACCGTCTCATGTTTCAAGTCAAAGACAAACTCGCCCCTAATCTGTACGGGTTCATGCCCGGGCGTAGCACACAGACATGCTTTGCAGAATATCTTGTTCACTCAAAAGATAAGACACAAACAGCCTTCATAGACCTTAAATCAGCCTTTGATGTAGCTAATAGACATTATACTTGAGCAACTAGCTAATTTTGGCATACAAGGTAACCTCCTGACATGGATAAAGGGTTATCTGTCCAACAGGTATGCCAGTGTTCTGTTTAGGGGAGTTAAAAGTACCAGAATGAGATCATTTGAGCTGGGCACACCTCAGGGAGGAGTGTTAAGTCCTATGCTCTTTAATATACTGATGCACAAGCTTATTGCTGACATTCCAGTTCAGCCAAACAAAGCCGTAATATGCTATGCTGATGATATCTGCATTATGACACAAACCAAACTCAGGCTCCAAGCCTTGCTGGATGTATTTGCTCGGAGAACTGTTGAATGCAGTCTCATAATATCTGTTGACAAGACGAGGGTCCTCAACCCTCGTCCTGCTCACCCTCTGCCTCTTGACTATAACATTAACAGCATGCCCTTGGAACTATGTAGCTCCTATAAATATCTTGGAATTTGTGTGAATGATGCAAACTTTGTCAGCAACCTTCGTGACAAACTAATGCAGCGCATTAAACCCCTCAGAACCCTTGTTGGCAAGGGCTATGGAATTAACATCACCTATGCTCGTACTTTCTATCTTCACTTCATTCGTTCTGTAGTTGACTATCATGCTCTCCATCTTGTGACTATTCCGCCTAAACAACTCAACAGCCTTGAGGTAGTGCAAAATGAAGCCATGCGCATCATCCTAGGTTGCCCAAAATCAACCAGAATTGTAAACATGAGGAAAGAGCTCGGACTGCCCTCCCTATCTGAGAGGATAGCCCTACTTAATACCATGTTTTGTGTCAAAGTTTTGAAGAACAATGGTTCTCAAACTACAGCTCAAACTGAGTTGATGTTCTATCTAGGTAATCCCGACTATCTCGCCAACCTTCCACAAAAGACTCTCTTTGGGGCGTGGCTTCATAAAAGTGTTGCAGATCTCTTGAAACTGAATGTCCCAATCACCCCAGCCGAACCTATTAATGCCATTCCTCCTTGGCTGGACATATCAGTTCCTATTAATTACACTCCTGTTGGTAGTAAGCAAATGTTAAACACCGATGTGGTGAGATGTGTCACACTAGAAACTATTAACAGGCACATACTGTAGAGAGTATTAAATCAAGTGAATGTTATGCTTTTACTGATGGTTCTGTGCAGACAAACACAGGTAGAACAGGCTGTGCAATTGTAATATATAAAGAAAAAGAGATGATAGTGTCAAACAAACAAAGGCTGAACAACTGGGCCAGCACAACACAAACTGAACTAACTGGAATCTACTTAGCCACAGACTACCTCAAAGAAAATGGAGGTGGGGTGATATTCTGTGACTCTCAAAGTGCTTTGAAATCAATGAACAGCCCGTCAGGCTCTATGTCTAAAGTTGCATGTGATATTAAAAGGAATGTGATAACTGCCAATGAGAACAACTTTCGTATCGAATTTGTGTGGATTCCGTCCCATGTTGGAATCAGGTATCATGACCATGCTGATAGACTGGCCAATGAGGCATGTAAGAAAGAAAATGTTGACCGTGACCTTGGTCTGTCCAATGCTGTAATTAAAATATTCAAGTCAGAATCATGAATTCTGATCTAGAAGAAGTGAGAAATGCAGAGAGACCTGACAGTTGTAGCATTAGTAAATATGACAAATTTTGTAACAAGAGGTACCGGTATGGCCAGCATAAGGACAGAACCAGACAATGTGATGTAGTCGTGGCCAGAATTAGGGTAGGATACAGACACATCTGGCAAGTTAGTAACGCAGTACCCATACCGGAACACTCAGCATGTAAACTTTGTGATAAACCTTTAAAGCATACACTTGAACACTATATTATTGAATGTGACACTGTCAAAGACTTCAGGCCACCTGACTTATTGTATCTTGAACTATGTAATTACTTCATTGAATCAGGTGTGCTTGAGGACATTCTTGCTGTTTATCCCAAATTTGCTAGCCCACACTGATTAGTCTTCAATTAGAATATGACTCCAATGTATGTGATCCACTGACCTATATATGCTGCTGGTGAATGTGATGTATTTCCTTCTTTGTGTACGAACCTCTGTCCTGCGTGGCAGTGAATAGTGGCATTACCCACATGAATCTGACCTATATATAGTGTCAATGAATATGATGCATTCTTTGTGTACGAACCTCTGTCCTGTATGGCAGTGAAAAGTGACATTACCCACATGAATCTGACCAACGTATACGTATGTGTATGTGTGTGTGTGTGTGTGTATATATATGTACATGTACATGTATATGTGTATGTATATATGTATATGTATGTATATGTGTGTGTGTTTACATATATGAATATGTACTGTCAATGAATATGATGCATCTCTTTGTGTACGAACCTCTGTCCTGCATGGTAGTGAACAGTGACATTACCCATATGAATCTGACCTCTATACATTTATAGTTGTAATGAATATGATGTATTTCTTTGTGTATGAACCTCTGTCGTGCGTGGCAGTGAGAAGTGATACCACCCTCAGTGTCAAGACCTGACTGAATTACTCAGAATAGGCAAACTGTACTACAAGCTCTGCCAATAATTGTTGTTAAAACATTGTTTCAATGGGTTTTTGGGTAATTGGTTCCAGCTCACCAAAAATTGCCTAAATTCAACAAAAAAGGTAGAAAGGTACACTTACTTTGAGGTGTGTATGTAGAAGGCTCCTGGATGATGATGGGAATTAGAATGAGGGTGGAGGAGAAGGGAGAAGAGAAGGCATTGGGGTGGAAGAGAAGTCACCCCATGGCACCATTTCACCCATAAAATTTTAGTTCTCTTGGTGTAATTCAAGATTATTTTCTTTAAATCAACACTGCACTGCATTATATATTGTCAATATGTAAAATAAACTTCAAAATGACCAATAATTTGCTTGTAAACACAGAAAAAAGCATTTAGTTGAAGAGTCTCAAGCAAGATGTTACCTCCACTGAAAAGACAAAAAGACTGACGCCTGTATGCTGTGTT